AGACAATATATACACAAAATAATTTTCGGGCAGAGCTATAATACAAAACCTAAAAACGAGCCCACGCCAATAGCAAATGAAATGAGAAAGTTTGTTTTGTTGACAATCGTCTAGCTGTGGGATAAAACATTTTAAGAATTTCGGCGTTTTCACAATTTCCCCGGTAACACATTTTTCTATGCCCTATATGTATGTAATTTTTGTTTGAAAATATGGAATCGGCGTACATACTAACTTTTCGAAGACTATCTAAGTTTGATTTTATGACTTTGCAACTTAAGCGGTTCTATTAAAATACCTTTCGTTTGCATTGCTGATGTCTAAGCCCATGCGTAGAAACATAAATTAAATGCTTATATACCTTCTCGGTTACATAACGTTACCTTAACGTAGAAAGGGTCTATCTAATAGTTGATTTCCACCAAGCTGCAGTTTATGTCGTTTGAAAAAACGGAGGTTACAACTCGACGGGGGCAATTCCACCTATTAAGTAGAAGCAAACGAAAGGAAGAAAGCAAAACTTAATAAAAAAATCTTGCCGATGACGCCATGTTGGAATTATTTGAACTTCTCTGAGCTCTTAACTGCAGTTAAGCCTTTGGAGGAAATAGGCTATAACAGTTTTGTTTCTTTACAGAGTAGTTATAAAACCAACTTAAGTTCTTCAGTTGCGATTTGCTTCATTACATTGGTTTTCAATTAACATAGTAACTAATTTTTTTGATGTATGTATGTAAGTAGTAGCTGATTTTAAATTCGTTGAAGTCTTTAATGAGTAATCTATCGTCTTTTGCGCAGAACTAAATTTCAAAAGAAAATGAGTTAGGGCCTTTCTATATTAAGTTAATGATATTTAACGACAAAATTTTCAGTTCTGCAGCTGTTAAACTTTTTTTATTACACTGCGCACAAATATACATTACAAACAAGTACCAAATATGTGAGAGAACGATCTGTTGGCGGATAGCAACAAATCTTTGTGGTACATAGATAAATAGACTTCAAAGAAACAAGCAAATCATAGAGAATTCAAAATCAAGGCAAGAAGTGAAAACAAACTAAAAATGTAATATCTAGCAAACGACCAAATTTTGTGTACATAAAAATCCGAGCGAATATATTTCGTGGTAGCAGCAAAATTTACCCACGTACATCTGTATGCACATATCTACAAACATTTCTATATAAATGGCATCGGTCGGTTCTCTGTAGCACGCGCAATTCGATTGCATGCAATTCACTTTGTAATTGCGAACATAGAAAATAATCAAAGAATAAAAAATAAAGAATTAATCAAAAATAAAGAAATTTACGCTCTGCCAGCGAAATTCAATGCCAAATTGTCTATGCAGCATAAATGTAACAAGTGACATTTAAAAAAAAAAAAGGAAAACAAAATCGTCGGCAAGCAGATTTTCGCAAAAGCGATAAAGCATACATAATTGCATAAAGACTGATCCTTGCAAAAATCTCCGGTACCTATGTGTATATTCGCTATGGATCAAGTGGGGCGCGTGCACGAGCTTGCGATATGACACCGTCGCCACTTTAGTTAATATGACGTAGATGGGATTTATACATAGCAAAAAAGTTCGGCATGAACAAAAAATAAATAAAAAAAAGCGTACAATTGCACTGCTAAACTTTTGTGGGAGTTAGCGCTTTTTGAACGCCAGACATTGTTTTTAAAAATTTTAAATAATGAAATAGTATGGAAACATTAATTGACCAGTAAGCTTAATTAATATTAATGTATGTAAATATGTACATAAGTTTTTATAAGAAGATTTTTATCATGATGCCATGACATTTAATATGAACTTTTCTGAAGAAATTAACTCTGAAATGAGTGTTTATACAAGAGTAATCATTTCCACGCCGTGGAAAGATACTGAAGAACGACATTCGCAAGCATTTTTCTGAGTAGTAATTATAGTTAAAAAATATCATAAGTAATTTGATTTGTAATCACAAGTTTAAGGTTGCTATAATAATATTTTCCATTAATAAATATGTATCATGTTTAAGCTGATTAAAATTATGGAGAGTTAATTTTTTGTATAAGAAGATATAGCGGCAAATCAATGGAATATCTAAAACTATCACTTTAAATTTCAAAATGGCTAAGACAATATCGAATAAATTTTTATTGTTTCTCAAGCAACAGATTTTTAGTTTTTACTAGCTTTGCCTGAGATTAGCTTTTTATAATTTATATAGCAGATTAACGAGAAATTTGATTAATTCTGCTTTTGTAGTAGTAAAACTATCACTGAAACGTTAGCCTAACCTAAGCTACAAGCACTGGAGGCT